AAGTAAAGGAAATAATTTTTTCTAATTTGACAAGCCAATGGTCTTTGCTACATGATTATGGAATGTTTGCTTCGTTACTCGATCCCAGATTTAAAGGTCTATCTTTTTGTTCAAATGTGAGTATTATGATTATAAAATAATAAGTATATATATTATTTCATAAATGTAGTATATTATAATTATAATGTATGCAGTTAGAATATACACTACTTACGGTTTATATTACTATTTTATAATTAGATACAAAAATGAAGAATGATTGAGGAATTAAAAAACAAGTTTAATGAATTAAGTGAGCATGAAAATCAAGTAGAAAATAATGATACAAATTTATCAGAAATCTAGTGACAAGTTATACCTAAGTAAGAGTCATGTGCCCGAGACATCTATAAATCAAATATAAGTAATATTGTATTAGCTTGACTATGAATCATATTTTTAATTACTTGAGTTGTATGGTTAGTTCCATTTGCTATTTTATTTTTAAGTATATTTATACAAGGTAGTTTATATCTAGAATTGAAGGAATGTAAAAAGGTACAAAAATTTTTATTTTTGACCAAATATAATGGAAGCATACAGGAAATAAAGAGTCTAAGAACATCTTGTGTAAGTTTTTGTTGCTTTGCTTGTGGATAAGGTTTTAATAACATGGTTTCCAGTATTTGTTGAGAAAACTTTTTAAGTTCATTGACTGTCTTATCATGAAGTGATATTTTTGTAATATGATATACATCTCTAAGATGATTAATCATATTTGTAGTCAAACCATGCTATACATATTTTGTTTGACAACTTTTAATCGAGCATTTAAGCTTAGTTGTTGATTTGTCTTCAGGCTTATGACCAGGTTGCTCATAAAAAGTAAAAAAAGATTTTATAAAATTATCTTTATTAGAAAGTTTTGCCTTTTTAGCAATATGACTATCATTAATTTTGTTAAATGAGGGTGCTAGTGATTGAGAATGTGAAATTGAAATATTATCATCATCTTGGTCAAGTGAGTCTATCTGTTGATTGGTTATAAACGAACTATCAGAAGTTGAATTATAAGTAGAAAAATCATAATCATAATCTTCATCTATGTTGCAAGAATAAAGTGAAGAATTAAAGAATCAGTAAGGAAAATTTATTACTTTATATATACAATCATAGTTCATAATTATTAACAATTTTTTTAATAGTTTAAGGCTGACTTTTCAAGGTAACTAAAAAATTCGATTATACTTCTAAAAAACAAAGAAATAAGAACATCAAATTTATGAACAATATTAACATATAAATATGCATATATCCAGAATTGCAACCTATATGATATTTCAAAACAAAAAACAAATTTCTAGCCTAAGTTGTTATTAAGTATTCACTTTCATAAGGTTTAACTTTTAAATAATGCTTATAATTATTTTGTATTTTGTAGCTTATAGTATACATATATGCTTCTCAGTATTATTGTTTTCTTTGTTGCTTTGGATAGTTAAAATTTTTTCTTATTATGCATAATCTCTAATGATTTTATTAATTACACTATTGATAGATTTTGTTGCTACTCGCTTCCTGAACAATTAAGTACTCTATGGGCAATTTAATTCACAAACAATCAATTAACGGACAAATTGAGTTATAGATAAGTAATTCAAACAAGTTTATTCTATGGATAGTTTATTTTATTTTATAGACAGTATATTTAACTAATGGTTTATTTTATAAATTTTAGCCACCTTTATACTATATAAGCATGAAATAACATTCGTGAGTGTTATTTTAAGAATCAGGTCCTTTAAAAATAATCTATATAATCTTTAATTAATATTCATAGATGTCCTTGAATTAACGCAATAAATAATACAGTCAATGCTCTATATGCATACACTTTGCTTCTCAGTATTATTGTTTTCTTTGTTACTTTGGTATAGTTAAAAATTTTCTTACATTATACATAATCTCTAATGATTTTATCAATTATACTATTGATAGGTTTTGCTGCCACTCACTTCATGAACAATTACAGTACTTTATAGGCAATTTAATTTACAAACAATCAATTGATAGACAAAATTAGGTTATTCAAACAAGTTTATTCTATGGATAGTTTATTTTATTTTATAGACAATATATTTAACTGACAGCTTATTTTACAAATTTTAGACACCTTTATACTATAGTCAGACCTCCCTAAATGCAACACCTCTAAATGCAACACCTCTCTAAATACATGATAAATGACTAGCCTCATGATAAGATTTATAAATAAATGCACGTTCTTTATTCTGCAATTGCATGCTAATTGCCTGGCCCACTTATAAAAACTTTCTTCATAAGTGCAACTATATGATTATTGGCCAATCAAATTTATTATTTCTAGGCTACTAAAGCCATATTTATCACATGATAATAGTAATATCATAATTTTATTAGTATTCTTTAATTGCAACTCTCCCTAAATGCACGCTTTAGAGCTGGTCCTGATGACTTGCATTTAGGAAGGTCTGACTGTATATAAGCATGAAATAATGCTCGTGGGCATTATTTTAAGAATTGGGACCTTCAAAAATAATCTATATGATTTCTAATTAACATTCATGGGTGTTCCAAATTAATGCGATAAATGATATAGTCGATGTTCCATATGCGCACACTTTATAAGTGTACTTTATCTGTAAGTATACATAATTTGATTAGTATAATATAATTATTTAATATTATAGATTATTCTCTATAATGAATATTCTATAAATACACTTTTACCCAACAATATGCATTTGTGGAAGGTTAACTGTAATAGATTCAGAAAATCTTCTCCTATTTCGAAATAACGCACATGAACGTTTTCAAAATAACATATATATCAATTAATTAGCATATAGATAGGTGTTATTTCGCACTTATATGATATTGATATTAGATTTAGAAATAGATTTAAGGTGGTTTTGCATCAATAAAATAAACTGTATATAAATTAATTTGTCTATGAATTATTATATATAAAACATTCTTGTTTGCAAAAAGATTGGTGGTGAACTAATATTGATCTGACAGGTTTGATAGATTGTTATAAATATTATTGATACTTTTTGTTTAATTTTTTTTTATTAAATGTTAAACTCTCGAACTACATGTTATTGTAATTACTTGTAGAATATACTCTATGTGCTATATTGGTACTATATATACTGTATCAAAATTCATATATATTTCAAAATATATACACATAGCATAATTTTAAAACTATGCTATTTTGGGATATGATTTAAAATAATAAATATGCTTACTATCGCTACATATTCTAAGAATTTAATGCTTTACATACAAATGCTAAGGTTTTATATATATCATGCATACAGTGTATGCTATTTAGCCAAACTTGAATATAAAAAGTTATCATTATTAACAACAATTTTAACAATAAAAAATTTATACATATATATGTATATATGAGATTAAAAAAAAATTAACAAATATAGTAATTATTATTAATATGTACATACTAAAGAAATACATCTAGCGCTAGTAGTAATTAGATAGGTTTTTAATTGCAATATGTAGAACTTTAAATAATATATTAATTGCTTAAGTAATTATTTATACATAGTTTAAATTTATTAATATTTAATGTTAATATATTAATTAGCCTATATATTGATTTATATTAAATATAATCAATTAGTTAACTAGTTGATTAATTAACTAGAATTAACTAGTTAGTTAATTGATTAGTTGATTAGTTGATTAATCAATTGATCGATTATTAATTAGTTAGTTAATCGATTAATAGTTGGTTTATTTTAGCTAATCGATTAGTTGCCAATTTAACCAACTAAGCGATTAATTGATTTTTGATTTGGATTACTAACCATAGCCTTAAAAAGCTTGGAAATATAATTAGAATTGAAAAACACCTAACCAAGTCTAACCAACAAATCTTACTACATCTAAGTACTACAATAGCTAAACTTAATAGAGTACACAATCTAGAGATACCTCTCTATACAACTAATTCTAACTGAATAACAAAAGCAAATACTAAGTGGAAGAAGCTATACTACTCATGTAATCTAAAAAATATCAGACAAACATAACACCAAATTACTAAAATAATCTTCAAAAGATATACCAAGCTTCAAACTAATCCAACTTCAATACTTAACAGTATTTTAAATTGGTATAAAGATCTGATAAAATTTGATAACATCAAACTTAATCAGAATATTATTACAGACCCTACTACTATTAAATCACACATCTAGCAGCACTTCAATAACTAGACTGCTATCCATCCAATTAATGAAATACTGTTTAATACAGAGTAGCAGGCTAAATATAACCCCAAACCTCATATCCAGCCTGATTGGTATCAAGAGATACTTTCTACTTTCTTTTAAGAGAAAATACTTATTACACTTAGTTAACTACCCAACAACAAAGCCTGTGACCCCTCAAAAATAAGCTATAAGATGCTAAAACATACAGGCTCTCTTTTTTTCAAGCCATAACTGCTCTTTTAAACAGATGTCTGCTTATTCAAACAATTCCCAAACAATAGAGAGAAGGCAGAATCTATCTCATCTCCAAGAAACTAATTTTTGATGGAAATCTAATGAATACCAGACCTATAAGCCTTATAGAGTATTTTAAAAAGCTATATACTAAACTTCTAACTAATCATTTAAACAATATTTTATCAAAACACTTAATCCTATCTCTTTTCAATTATGTTGCATTTCTAGGCAACTCTACCTCTATTCCAATTCACATTCTCAATAATATTATAGAGTATGCAGCTTGTAATACTAATCAACTATGAATACTTTCACAAGATATAAGCAAAGCTTATAACTTCATCAACTTTGGCTTATTTCAAAAATCATTATACAGAATCAGTATGCCAGAACTAGTGTTACAAATCGAAATCGAAAATCGATCAAAATCGAAAAGTTAACAACTAATCGATTGGAAAATTTTTGGCAACTTATATTAAAATCGAACAAAAATCAAATAAAAATTGAATAATCGAAAAGTTGACAACTAATTGATTGCAAAATTTTTAGCAATTTGTATCACTAGCCAGAACCTCTTGTTAAAATTCTTACCAACCTTCTTGCAGATTAGTCTAATAGAGTTATTACCAACCTTGGCCTTACCAACTCCTATTATGTCCAAAATAGTATTGATTAGAGAGAAACAATTACCTTATTATTCTGAAGAATCTACTATGATCCACATATTACAAAAATATCTACACATCTACCAGGCTATACCATGCAGACCTCTTGGCAAACAAGTCTAATCTCTTCCTTCACCAAAAGGCTACACTGCTCTATATCAGTTCTTGCATATATGGATAACACTGTCTGGATTACTAACACCAAAAAAAATCTAGAAAAAATTATTCAAACTGCTTCATCTTTCTACAATATGTCAAACATTCAAGTCAATCCCTCCAAATCAACTTTTATTTCAACCCAACCTAGTGCTAATATCTCTTTTCTACAAACAAACAATTCTACTCAACCAACTATTCAAGTTTCTAGGATATTGGTTTATATTCAACAATAAATACACTAAGCAAATTAAGCTTATTTAAGAAGAAGTGCTTAACCTAGCCTACACTGCCAACTTAAAAAAGATAACAGACAAACAAATAGTCTATATTATTAATACAGTTATAATCTCCACAATAGAATATAGAATTCACAACATAGTTATCATCTATACTATCTGTATACCTATCATGATCTACCTCCAATAGTACAATGCTTTGTCACCAGATCTACAACATACACAATATCTGGAACATACAGCTTCAGCACCACACTAACAACTTACTTCTCAGGATTAATAATAATTCCACACTTGGTACTACTACTTATATCAGATTGCAGCAACTACAAAACAATTTATAGTCAACCACCAGCATATTACAACACTCCTAGCTAGTGTTTCGGGCGAAATTATATATTTCGCCTAGGTGAAATTTCCGAAATAGGGCGAAATATATTTCGCCCAAAAGCCTGAAATCCGAAACTGGCGAAATTGGCGAAATGTCCGAAACCTGGCGAAATATCCGAAACCTGGTGAAAGTTCCGAAATCTAATA